TGACGATGCACTGGTGATCCTCGAGAGCGCCAAAGTCGCTTCAAACTCCTCTAAGCCGTTCGTGGCCACAGTTATTTGCTTCAAACAAGCGACAGCAATGGTAGTGCACTGAGTGTAAGTGAGGCTACGAGGGTCGACGGAGGCTCCTATCTGACAGGTAGCTTGTCGACACAATACGGCGGTGTCCCCGAAGCCCTCAGCCTCCGATGCATCCATACCCTTCATGAGCACACTGAGGCCCCATTGGGCAACCATACTGCGATTGCGTTGCTCAATACACAGAAGGGCGAGCCCCACAGAGCATTTACCCCGAGCAAGGGCTTTCACGCCTTCTCTGGTGGACACTGCACGACGCAATGAGCCAACACGTTTTGGGTCGCCGAAGTGGACCATGGCAGGGGCTCCTTCCATCTCCGCTAGCGCGGTTCTCAAAGCTTGCAGATCTTTTTGGGATAAACCCCCGGTGGCAGCAGCAGCAGCCCTTTTGACAGGATGCTCATCCTCAGTACGCAGGAGAAAACCGGCCAGCCAACGATATTCGGCGCAATCAAGGCCCAAGAGGACTATACGTTCAGCCAAGCGGGAATCATAAATCTTCTGGAGGAAGCTCGGTGACGAAGTGCTTTCTCGTTCTAACAGAGCACGCACACACAGCATGAGACCCTTCTCCTGAGTGCGGGGACAGGGACTGGCCAACCACTCTTCGATGGTCTGGCCGATGGTGCTGCGATCAGACTCCAACGTGGCGATGATATCGTCGGCTTCCGCTTTGGTAGCATCAATGCCCTTGAGAATGTCGTCCCATTCCATATCCTTATCATCTGACATGGACACTTTTGCCCTAAGAATCTCATCGAAGACGGGGACAAGTCAAGGGCGGCCTATCGTATGCTAAGTTGACATAATTGCACACGTCCGACATGGTGGGTTATACATAGAGTGAAACGTTCATCATAAACAGCCTCGTCAACCAGCCAAACGTATGGTGAATTGTAACTCACATAAAGCAGATTTTCGTAGGGTCGTCTCCATTTGTCCCAAGGCAGCATCTACATCTTTCTCCAAACCTTCGTTCACCTGGAGAGATGCAATGAAATGCCAAGTATAATGCGAGCCCCGGCCTTCTGCGAGGTCCCAAGCTTAGGACGTTCCCCCGCGCCACATACCTCCTCTGTGTTCGTTGTGGGCTCCTTTGAAGTACTGAAGTAGCTTTTCACGACCGCTCGGAGATGATCATCCGTACTCGGAGACACCGGCGCCTGCGGTTTTTCCACCATAAACTAACAAGGAAGGACTACAGACGATTTGTAAAGCTCTCATTTGACAATCCCTATCGGTTTTGTGGCGCATGGAATGGAGATAATCTTATCCTCTCGCAGATCCATCACATTTTATCGATTCTATGGTGTAGTGGTTAGCACACTAGATTTTAAATCCAGCAACTCAGGTTCGAATCCCGGTAGAAATTCAGGTGTATGTAGTTACTCCTAAACTAACACATGAGTTTCCGTCACATGATCAAATGCTATATAAATACTCATCGATGACTACACCAAACGAGAAAAAGAAGCCCATCGGGATACACGGGAGAGCGTAAGTTTCAAATACCTAATTCATCGAACCACGTCAGCTCGACGTCGTTGGGCACTCACCCGACCTCCAGTCAGTCTCAGCAACGAGAACCCGATCCAACACTCACCACTACTATCAACTCAAGTGCATCAGCCGATGTATCAATGAGAAATTGAGCAGCACAAGTTCGCTCACGGACCATGGCAACATCATAATGACATGTTGGTAAACGCGATAGATTGTCCTGAAAACGCAGACAATCTTAGCCAACGCCACAGAATCGATCCTTGTGGATGAATAAATCATAGGTATTTATCACTACATTGAATAGATATAAGATATTCATAATTGATTTACATCGTAATATGAAAGTTATTATTAATATAACCATAATTACCTCAAAATATGAAATAGTAAAAATACTTGACCTTAGCCAAAATGCTCGAGAATCAATGGCTCGTTCCGAAGCGCACTATCAATTATAATAAACTAGCCTAAGGAGTGACCCTCACGAGCACGGTCCACAGATCAATGGACCTCTCATATTCAGAGTTACCCTTGACAGGGAGTACTCACTGATACCAAACAACTGAAGGAGGGGATAATAACATCTCGGA